TCATGTCAGAAAATAAAACTGTGGCTTTTCAGTGAAAAGCTTTAACTTAAATCGATACTGCAGCCCTTTGCACATTTCAACCTGACTTGTATATTTGAGCTTTTAAGAGTCACTTAAGTTGAGCGAAGTTGATTGATGCTCAAAGTACTGGTCCTTTTTATACTAGGCTCAATATAGTCCTCCTATAAATCACTGGTTAAGATATCTGTCATCAGTGAAAAGACCTCCACTCTGAATTTCACTCCTCCACTGAGAATGAGTCATCTGTCCTGGTTTTATGCATTCTCTGGGAGGGTGTACAGACCCTCTGAGCCTTATAATTCCCCAAATCTATTATTACAGAGAGCCACGTCAAAATCTTCACGAGCTAATGTTTGACATGCACAAAAGAGTCTTTCCACTTAAATGTCTTAATGGCATTCTTCATCTCACATTGCTGTTTTTTGTTTTACCTGGCTATTTGTATATTCCAGTGGGGAAAACCTTGCATTCCTGTGCGTGCTTGAGCAAACCATCTTGTTGGTGCGATGGACTTTTCAAAGATTCAATACATCTGCTCCAGTTAGTTTTAAGTCCATCTGGTACACATTTCAGTGCCAGAGGGAGTAAGAGCAGAAGCTGAATATTGATTAAACCAATCTGAAATATTCGCCTCCTTAGAGCAGTTGACACCACACGCCCCCACAAGATTAAGTGAACGATCATCCCACTGAATCCACTTAACAAGTTATGCCTGGTGCACACTAGAGGATTTTCAAATCTTAAATGATTTTAAAAACACGGGAGATCACACACATAACAACAGTTTTAACCAACTTTTTATATTTTAAACGTAAAAAATCACACGCCAGATGATTTAGGCAAGATGCAGGACCACACACTTGGCGTTTATGCTTAACCATTTGAGTGGCGATTCCAGGGACTTGGGAACTCACACTGTTGCCATAATTCAACAAGCTTGTCCTCCTTTTCTACTGTCCACCCAGCCTGGGAGACAAAAATTCCTATTCGTGCTGTACGCAACATCCTGTTGGTGACTCTTCCGGTCTTCCTGGCTCTCATTGGCTTTTGCAGGTTTCTGCTCAATTTTCCTTTCTGTTTCTTTCACACTACAGGATTTCAAGTCGTAAATATCAAACATGTTTGAGGAACTTTTCAGTAGCACGAAAACTTGATTGTTCACATTCATATTATACAAAATGGATGATTTTGTTCTGTCCAACAAAAAAATGTGCCTTGTCTTTTGAGCTTCTGTCTAAGATAACAAATGGGATATATTCATATAGTAATTTTTTGAAAATACAAAGACCGTAGAAGAAGATAAGGCAGTATATTGTAGTTTTCTTTTTTGTATGAGTTGAGAAGAACAGTACGCAAAGTTCCATCAAGCCCAGTCTAAGGAAACATACCTGCTTACCTGCATAAGTGCTCAGGGAAAGTAATGTGGTGTTACAATGTGCCGCAGAAGTGATGGATTCTTTGCATTATAGTATTTAATATGTGGCATGGTGGTCCTCTGCCCTCACTGACATACTTTTCATCTGCTCTGAACAGCAGGGATCCATTTACTGAGCAATTCTTAAATTCTCAAAAACTGTAGTGTACTATTACAGGAGAAATCCACCAATGTAGTGCTGTCAAAAACTGTTCTCTTCTACAGAGAGATTGCACCATTAAACCTCGTGCCAATATTTCTCTCCTTCCATACATTGCAGTTTTAGCTCTGTCAGTGCCATGAACCTGGTTTGGTTCGACGGAAACAGTACACATTACATGTTAACGTGTTACTGTCTCCTTCCCCTCTTCTCCATTTCTGATGTAAAATGGACCAAACAGTCTGGGCTGTGAGTTTTGTAGATGTGTTCGCATGAAATGACACATCGTTATTCTGTAAAGTACAGCTCCTTTTCCCCCAGAATGCTACAGCTGATGATGCAATATCATAATAATCAGTGCTGTGTTCATAATGACCACAGACACATCTGGTGCTGCAGCTTTATTACTGGTGACACACTTCTCTCCTCTGGGACTGACTGGCCTTCCTACCATTTCACAGTTGTTGCATTGCTTTAGTTTAGACAGCTGTGCATCACATATATATCAGTGATGTGCGGATCGATCCTAAAGTATTGATATTTCTGATACCAATTTCTGATCAGTACTCATATAAAAGGATCGAGATCTAAACTCAGTCATTTGGAGTGAGTGTGTGTTTTATCAGAAGTATCTTACTGTCACCAGGATGGTCTAATTATAGGCTACTCGGTTGATAGGAACTACTTTTCCTTCCGCCTGTCAAAGTCATGCTTGCGCTGTGGCTCTGTGACGGAGCTTCTTTGAAGTGAGCCACTGCAGCCCTTTACATTTCCCTGCAATGAATACTGACTCTGGCTAACTGTAAAAGCTGTCACGTCTGGCTGTATTTTAGCTGTGAAGGTAATAATGTTGCTCTGTGTGATGTGTGTGCAAAGACAGTATAATACTTTAGCAACACTGCAAACTTTGCTAAACTGCTGAGATTAAGTCTGTCACAATAATAGGATGATATTATGAAGCAGCAGTTCTGAGCAAGATATTTTTATTATAATTAAAGAATACGACAGTAGTTTGATGTCTTGTCATTATGCAGCTATTATTTTGAATTGGTAAGGCTACAGCCTACTCCTTATTTCTCTCATAAATACAGAAACGGGAGGGGGGAGGTCACATTAAACTAGAAATAAAATATGTAAAAAGTAGTGGTATTGGTATCGGTATTGGCAATACCAGCCTGGGTATTACTTGGTATTGGATCGTATAGGAATTAAGTGGTATCGCACATCACTAATATATATGTCGCTCCTGTTTTACAAGCTTATTTAATTTTATAAATAATAAATATGATTTTAGTTTTAAGGTCTTAATATAGATCACGTACCAACCTTTCATCATGTACTGAATTAGATATTTTTTTACTTGACTATGAAAGGTTAAAAGAAAACTGTGGAAGCCAAATATACATTTAACAATAAACAACTGAAAATGAGGCTTAAGCATTTTTATGCATACAGTTTTAAATCTGCTATAACCAATATTGTTATATCAATAGTGGGATAAATGACGACATACACATAAAATGGGTCGTAATTGTGAACCCGCATAAAATTATCTCACGACTCTGTAATTCTCCTCAGCTCTTCAGGGCATTATGGCGGCTTTCAGCACAGTGTTTTGGTTTTATGGCCTCAGCTTAACTGTTCTGGTTTGGTCTCACTGCTTTGTTTCCAGGGTATAACTCGTCCCAAGCTTTTCTTCTGATACAGATAAGCCATGCTCCGACTGATGTTCGACCAGTATTTAGTTGTTCCTATTCTCAAATCATCTTCTTTTGAACAGCAAACACCGTGAAAAACAAATAAAATAATGAAAAACACAATTACTGTCAGTATGAAATATAACATTAACACAAAATTTTATCAGTTCACAATAAAATAAGCACATACCATGTGCGCCTTCTGCACAGAAATTTAGGAGCTGTTACAATCCTCTAATATTTAAAGTAGCCAGCGGTTTTATGTTTAACTAAAAGTTTGCTAATGACTCAAAACTGTATCCAAATTTAGATTAGTTGGTGTTTGGCATTGAAGGGCCTGCTTTGCATCATCTGAGCTACAACAAAGACGAGTGGTGGAAGGGTTGACAACCTGCGGTTTAATGACGCTGCAGCACAATGTTGTAAGTGACAATGAGGTACACATGTGTATTTAACAAGTTTACATCATTTATTTATTTATTTATTTATTATAAAAGTAGCAAGGTTAACTGTGAGGGCTGCTACTCGGGTCAGATGGTTAGCTAAAACTTTACTTAAATTGGTTAACAATTAACAGGAACTGTTAAGAATGGTAGCAATTTATGCAAAAATATCGATGGAAAGCTTGCAACCTACACCTTTCTCACGTTGACCTTCTTTGGGTCTGGATCAATTTTCTGTTCTGCGTCTGTGCAAATTACTGAGTTGGCACCATTTAGAGGCAGCATTTTTATGATGTCATCACATGGACATGTATTTTACAGTGTTTTTAAACTGCAGAATACAAGACATTACAGTATTTTGAAACAAAATATGAAGCTATTTTCATCAACCCCATCAAATACAAATTACAAAATCCTATTTTGTATTTGAAATGTGTATTTTAAATACTACCCATCCCTGACTATATCCATATATGTTTGATTTCAATTTGGTTTTATTTCCCCATGACTGCCTTTAAGGTAGCGAGTTATTTACAAATGGTCATTTTAACCTAAGAGGCTACAACTGTAAGATAGTCTAGACACAAAAAAAGCTTCCTGCAAGGGGTCATTATGAGTCCTGACAGACAGGCTGAATATGTCAAGTTGTTATATAGCTGTCATCTCAGAGTCAGTAATGAGGAAGATGATATTGCTCAGACCGGAGCACCCAAACAGGTGATGCTAGTCAAAGCGGGGTCAGCTTCATGATTTTTCTTCCTTCCTTCTATTGACTGAAACCAACTGCCATTGTCAAACTATGTTCCCGCCAATTACTGCTCCAGTTTGAGTGAGTATTGTTGGACATAATAACGACGCCTTGCCCAGTTTGCCAAGCGGTAATTGTTGAGCTCTAAATGGAAACTGGATTGTTCTGAATTGCTGTTTGGATGTCCAAAACATGGGGCAGTGGGACAAATGGTGCTTTTTGTTTATCTTTTTATTTAGACTTACATGTTGTTATTTTTCTTAAAATAGTGATCATATCTAGTTTTTCATGTCTCTGTGCCATGTGGCTTGGCTAACTTGGGGGATTCAGGAAAACCAACCTGTTTGTAGATTATGGATATTAGTACAACAAAAAGCCAAATGTTTCCCATTTTTCTGATATGTGGCTGAAATACACCTCAATTTGAGCTGTCCTGGAAAAGATAAAGATGGCAAAGCAGCTAGAAAAAATTACAAAAATACCCAGAACCAAAATCTCTGTTTTTTTGTCCTTGCAGAATGAACCAGGCTCCCACCTCTGGTTTTGAAGAGGATGTGGGCACCAGAACAACACATCATATCATGTACCCAGAAAGTGCCATAGACCTGGACAACTTCACCAGTCTGGTGCTGATCCCTTTCAAGACCCTGGATCTGCAGTGGCTCATTAGTGCTCTGACCACGGGTACTATTACCCAGTAAGTGTACTTATCGAAACTTAAAGCTGCACTCATCAGTATTTTTATATAAAGAATGGATCAAATGTGTAATGTGAACACTGTCACACGTAGTGACAAATACACAAAGAATTCTCACCCGACTGCAGCTCCCTTCACCTCTACAGAGATTTTTAGCATCTTTCAGCTTATTGTGTTGGTTTTACAGCCTACAGCTGTACCATGTTGGTCCACTTCCAATGCTCTCATCAACCTCATCTCCAGCCACAGCTGTTTTCTGCACAAAACTTCTGATAAACCCACCGTACGCTAGCTTCCCAGCACCACGGACACCAAGTTAGCAAGTAGCTGGTTAACATAGTGTAGCATTTAGCAGCTAAAGAGCCAGATGTTTGTCAGGAAAATACTGGATTTACATTCACCAAGTGGCCAGAAACACGACTCCAAATGAAAGCTAATCTTGCTCTGTGTCTACTGGTTGTGTATATTTAAACTGTTTGCTTACATAGCCATGTACTTAGCCACAACTTTGTAACGTATGTCAGCGTGTGTAACAGGTTGTCACACAGTCATCAATTAACCAAAACATCAGTAAATGTAGGTTTAAAATAGAGGAGGCATGTGTTACTGTTACATTAAACATCAAACCATACATTAAAATAGGGATGCAACGAATGTTTGGCCACCGAAATTAATGGTCCGAAAACAGCAAAAAAAGCATTTTCGGTGTTCGGCCTAATACGTCTAAAGACCTAATAAATTTTACCAAACAATTATGTTGACATGTCAACAGTGTGGAAGCATTTTAAAGTGTCAGAGAAAGAAGCAAAAATCTACATTTGCAGACACTGTTCTGCTGAATTGTCTCCTAGTACATCCACTCCAGCTGTGGCTGACTTCTTAGAAAATAACTGCTTTGAGTGTTTCTGTCACCTGTTTGCGAGAAGTCGATTAAGCTAGCTGCACCTACATTTGGAGTGTCCATAAAAAGTAAATGGACACATGTAATTTACTTTACCGGACCTTGGACCCACCCTTGGACCCACCCATAGTCTCTCCAAATCCTGTGGGAAACACTGAGTAAAAAGCACATTTTGACTATTTAATTTATGCAATGGTTAAAAAAAGGAAATAAATGGAAAAAATGTGAATGTACTTGTTCTGTGTTCTGCAATTTTTTTCATTATATTCAGTTTCAGCTTCGGACAAGAATTTTTCGGACAAGCATGACTTTTGTAGCCATAATTTAGTTAATATGTTTCAAAGCAGCAATCCTTAAGTGTGTGTGTGTGTGTGTGGGTGTGTGATTCTTGGACTGAATTTCTGTTGGCATTCTACCAAGTAATACAAATTCTCTGTCCAAAACAAGAGACTCTCTAATACATTTCTATAGTTGTTTTTCCCAGAGTGTCATCATTGGGCAAAACTTATAAATGAAAAAATATAAATGTGACGCATTCTCATTTGGAAATGTGAAAATTTTAACTGTCCTTTCACTAGTCAACAGATATGATTAAATGATTTAATGATGATCGAAACAGAAAGATGTACGACGGCGGTTGCCAAAGAGACATTCGAAGCGTTGTGGGGAAGCTACGATAGGGAAATCCGCCGTAGCACCCGGACACGATGGACCCCCTCATAAATCTATGGAGGGGAAAAAGGAGATCAGGAGGCAGGACAGAGAAAGGGGTGGGAGGGAGGGATGCAGGATACAAGAGCGAAGGGGAGGAGTTAGGACATGTGGGTATTAATGGAAATGCTGGCAATGACGTGCTTGATGTGTGGTCCCGCTCTTGAAACTCTGCTAATTAACGCCACAGAAAGTTAAAAGGCGTGAATGCATTATCATGTATGTGTTTCACTCCCAGATTCATTTACACTCTCCAAATACCAGACTGTCATAACAATCTCACTCACTCGGTTTTCCTACTCATCAGATTGCCATAACAAGGATAATCACTCAGTTTTAATCTTTCAGTAAATTTCACCTTCAGCTGCTTCATTCTGAATGACCCCTAATCATTAGCTTGATTACTGGATATCCAGGGGGGGGGAAAAATGAAGCCACTGCCAATAACTCAAACACGCCAACATGTTAGATGGTAGAAGGCCGAACAAATCCAAACAAATGTTTCCTATAAATGTGCAGTTGTCTTCCAACTCGGCCAAAGCAATCATTCTGCATCATTAAATTTCACTTCACTGGGAGTAATGTCAGCATTAGTCCAAGAGCCATTAGATCTTAACTGAGTGTTGTGAATTATTTTGTTACATTTCTTGTTAAACAAAATGAAGCTCTATAAAAGGACAGGACTGCAGTATGTGAAGGGACACAGGGCAGACTGTTATTGGTCCACATTCACACTCCTGGCTTTGAATGGTAACATATAAACACTTCTCTGTGTGTGTGTGTGTGTGTGTGTGTGTGTGTGTGTGTTAAAGGATGATTTTAACATTAGGTTGTGTAATGTAGTGTATTATAATATAATGCACCAGAAGCATGAGAGACCATTTTCATATTCATTCACCACAAAACCTATAAGAACTGGTAGGGTTGTAATAATGTACAGCACACATTTCCAAAAAGCATTAGACCTGTCTGTAAAATCTCTGAATTGTAATGAGACTCGTTGCTGCAGAGACAATAGCCTTGATAAACTTGACTTTAACTGGGAACATTTGTCAGGAGTGTCTTACTATATGATCATTTACTTTTCATTTCAGTCATTAGTATGCCATCCCTTTATGTTTTCAACAAAGTCTGTACAGGTATGGTGTAGAATTTACATCAACTTTGAATTTACACTTCAGCTCAGTGTGTTTTTTTTCAACCTCCTTTTATTCATGAAAATAGTATAAATGCAAATTTACCGTGTCCACATTCAGTCTGCATATGAAAATGCTGTAATTTTCAGATGCAGCTTGCAGGAGCTGCACACACCTTTTTAAATAAAGGAGCCTTGCCCATTTTTATATTTTAACTTAACACTGTATGCTCTCATGTGAAGAACGATGTAAAATGATGCACTTTGAAATCTGCCCGTGATAGTTAATCAGCTATCCCCAGACAGTTGTTATAAGGATAGAAAACTCTTGGGCATTTATTTTTAGACATGTCAGTTAAATGAGATTAAGTTCATGGATCCTCCTGCTGAGGTTATGGATGTAATACCAGTGACTGTAGACAAACAAGCATTGAGCTGTTAATCAAAAACAGCATTTCAGGGAACTCTAAGGCAATTAAAGACGAAATGTTAAGCCCATTGTATTTTCTTGTGTTACAGCACATATATATCGGTTATGTCCAGGATAAAAGCAAACAAAGATAAGGTGAGTTATACAAAGGTTGTAATTGTTTTTCCATATTTTTTAGGCAGCATGGACTTACTTTTGTTTGCATGATGTTTTCTCTTTAAAAAAAAAACAAAGCTTGGATGAAAACTATAAAAAAAATTATTAATATTGGCCAAATTTATTTATTAATTTATGTGTTCAGTTAAATTTCCTGTGCATTTTTTTTCTTAACATGATGGTCAAAACGGTGTTTCAAAGGCCTCTCCACACTGCCAGAAATTACCTGCTGAATCCTTTTATTAAAACATTTCCTCCACCTCTTTGTTCCAGACTGATCGATGGGTTGCCATCAATATTTGTACATAATGCAGGACCTTTACTTGTAATGGACTATTTTTAGACTGTGGTGTTTCTACTTTTACTTAAGTAAATGATCTGAGTACTTCTTCCACTACTGGGTTTTTCAGTTTGACAAATTCTACAGTATGTTGCCGTTTGACCTGCATATGGCACATCAAAACAGTATATCACTGCTTTTCACTGACACATATCATGTCCGGCAGCTTATGATCACTCTTTACTGGAATATTCCACTGCTGGTTATGGTATGTTACCACTGTGCCACAGCAAAATAACATGCCATTGTCTGCTACTAACAAGTGTCACTTTTCACCTGGCATGGCTAGCTGTAGCTATATCTTAGCCTTGTACAGCTAGCAAACGTAGCCTTGGACAAAGTTTGACCATAAACAACTAGCTATGTTCCAGTGGGCATTATGCCAAAATGTCTCATTTAATTGAATGCTAAGAAGTGGTATATGTCAGAACAGCAGTGATGCCATGCATTAGTCATACTGTTACCACAGCAGCAGCACACGCCAGTAGTCATCATATGGAGGTAGGAAGTGGTATTGGCCAGTGACATATTGTTTTAATGTGCAGTGTGCATAACATACCACTAGTCAAAGTGACATACCACCCAGAATTGGCATCTAAAAAATATGAGAGTGGTACACCGTCTGTAAACGCTGGTGTAAAGTGGTATTTGCCAGATAACAGGAGTGACATACCGGTTTTAGATTCCATAAGCCAGAAGAACAGCAGCATAGCAGTTACTTATACTTACAATCAGCATTATGCTATGCAAACAAGAGTGGCATAACATCTGCTACTTTTCGATCTCTTCGCTGCTGTAGATATCCCTTCATTCGAACTATAGAGCACAGCCAAAACTATTAAAAACAACCTCAGACCAAAGCTCTCCAAAGTAAACTATACTTTTTATTGTGTGTGTGTGTATATATATATATACATACACAGATATATACAGTATATCTATATATCTTTCTTCCTGATATCTCTTTTTTAATACAGTTATTTATGTAACTATTTAATGATGTAAGCAATTTCTTCTGTCTCAGTAAATTGCAAAGGTGCAGAAATTCCTATGACTCTTTTGCAGGTGTTGATTTACAGTCCAACATTTTTCAAATACGTCTATGAGTCTTGGCTTCAGGGTCATGGACGATATCCTTCCACTGGCTTCCTCAGCTTAATGCTCGCTATCCACATATGTGACGAGGTTAGTTGAACCACTGTATTAAGCACATGCATGACTACTGAAATTCCTCAGTAAAGTGGAATACCCTTACAAGGACAACGCGCTTGATGTTTTTATTATATTTAATTTTCCAGAATCCTGTAATGTGTTTTGAAAAATAAGGAAATACCAATATGTGGATCTGAACTTATGTGAAAATTGAACAAACTCCAGAGATAAGTGTATAAAGCTTGTGTGGGTGATGTTTTACTGTGCTTTTGTTCCTGGTCTGCTCCAGGTCAGTGTATTTGGATTCGGTGGAGACCAATACGGAAACTGGCACCACTACTGGGAGGAGAACAATTTGGCCGGAGCTTTCCGACACACAGGGGTCCATGACGGAGATTACGAATATAATATCACCCTGCTCCTGGCAGACAAGCACAAAATCCAAATGTTTAAAGGCAGATGATACCAAGCCCACGTGTGCAATGGGAGTACCACCAAATGAACCTTAGCAGCCTTTGAATGAAAGACACTTACCCTGTTGATGGAAATATATAGCAAGGGAGTTCATCATTGTCATTTATGTTAGAAGAGCGTCTCATAGAAACAGATATAACCTATCTGCTCATCTCAAACAAACTAAGGGGGCTTTCACACCTAGCTACCTGGTTTGGTCCGGACTTTCGGGCTTTTCAGTTTGGTCCAAATTGCAGGTGTGAAACCTCCCGTTTAATTGCGAATTTGAACTTGCCTTCAGTATAGTTGGTGCCATAATAATAACATGTTCATTTTTCATTCATTCATTCTTGTCTTCCTGAACTGTTTAATAAACCAATCAATGTCAAGTATAGGGAGACACAGCCCACATAGATGATGACCACAGGACATGGTCCTGTCATGTAAAGTCCTTTAGGGTGGTTGCAGAATTACAGTGTGAAACCATACCAAATCTAACCGAATGTTGATACATTGCAAATGTATCAAAACATGAACTTTGGTTTAGATTTTTGACTGTACAGACCATTGACTATACTGTAAATATCACTTATAAACTATAAAGGTAGGGCCCCCCAACGCACCGCTTAGAAAGTTTTGACCACATTCTGAAATTATTTGAATTTGTCATAAACATTTGTACAGACATTCATATTTGCCAGAGGATGAATCCCAATAACTTTCCTGATCCCCTGACTTTCCTCTAATGCCACCAGCAGATTGACATTTGTGGTTTTGGGTGAAATATCTAATAAAAATTATTGAGCGCATTGCAATGAAATTTGGTACACGCATTCATGTCCTCCTTAAGATGAACTGTGGTAGTCTCTTTTCATCAACTCCATCATGCCAAACATTTTATTTGTCCTATATTAGTTATAACCAAATACCAGCAACATCTAGGATATTCCCATCGGCCTCTGTTGTAGTTTGTGCTTTGTGCTAAAGAGCAAATATTAACATGCTAACTAATAACACATGGTGAACATGGTAAACACACCTGCTACAGATACAGCATACAGACCCTTGTTTTAAATGGTAGAATTCAAACTCCCTCCAGGTTGGTAAATTCAATACATTTTGAAGTACAGAGGCATAATCCCAGTGTCTTTAGTATGGCCCTAACGACCCATGACCTGGTAGCTTCCACAACAACTACAGTAGAGCATGCAAACTGCAGCTGCAGCTATCAGCACAGTGTTGAAAGCTGTGTCAAAGGTAGCATCAAAACTGTTAAAGAAATCTAGGATTACAGAGTACTTCACATCCTTTAAACCAAAGGTTCTCAAAGTTGGGTCCTTGTGGGTTTCCAGGGGGTCCTCAGCAAAAAAGTGATTATATTTCCATATAATTCCAACAACCTAGTAACACAAAGACAGAATGTATGACTAATTGGGTCATGGGTTTCATACACTTTCAAACATCTAAAATTAAATATCCTATCTGATGGTGGACGCTGGGACAAAATGTTATCAAATGGGGGTCCGTGGTCTAATTTGTGTAAGTTTAGGGGTCCTTGATGTGAAGAAAATTGAAAACCACTGCTTTAAAGAGTGATGAGGGGTTGATGATGGGGTTATTTGTTGGAACGTCAGTCTTAAAGGGATGTACTAGAGACGTGCAGCAGGGTGTGCATTAAGAGTGATATAGTGAAGCAGAAATTAAGTCTTTGGTAAAAAAAAAAAAAAAAGATCGAGATGTTACACAAACACAAGGTTCATTATTAAGTTGTAGACATTCATAATGGAAAACTAACATATGATACAGCCTATACAGGGGTGCCTTATTAATAAAATCAATGATGTACTCTGTGAGATATGAAAAGTAGGTGTTAAGTGCCTTTTAATTGGAATTTTTTAGACTCAATTTTGCCACCAAATTGTTCTGTATTGTAATTATTACCATTATTTATATATATATATATATATATATATATATATATATCAGCAAAAGGTTTATTGTTGTGTACAGTGTCAATTTTAATTAATCGTATGCATGATACATAAAGTACAACCATTTTAAGTGTTTGTCAGTGAGATTTGTTTGTATATGCCACAGAACAACATGTTGGACACTTGGGGTAAGTACGTCAACATATTTGGCTCTGTAATTTTGATGAAAAACAGCTACGATTTGTCCAGGCTTGAAATTATTAGCTGCACTCGCTGAACTTGTTGTAGATGTGTGAATACTGAATGCTTTATGACTCAGACGCTCTTATCCTGCCCTCACATTATAATTTTCACCAACAAAACAAACATGTTGTGTTGTATCAGATTATTCAGGAATTGAGCTTAGTGGTGCTTATCTAATAGGCTATGATTTGCTCCATGTGCCTTGAAACATGTTGGGACATTTGCCCGGTCAGTGTCTTCATGAGCTTTTCCCTCTCCGTGTGAGCGTAGGCTGATAAGAAGAGAAACCGCAATATTAGCTCAATTCAAATTTGTGAGGCACCTTGCATGCATACTGTTGTCACAGTAGTCGAGAGAGGTGTACATTTCTGCAGGGGACACTGTCACCTAGTGGACAAGGATATGTAGGCTCTCAGCGTTAACATCACTTGGTTTGTCCATTGTAAGACTGTTGTGATGATGTAAACTGACACATTTACATCATTAATCACACATCTATATTACTTTTTCCATCCAGTTGATATCTTAATTGTTGAATAGTTACATACATTCAAGCTGTTAAAGCAGCACCTTCAGAAAAATCTCATTTTTATATTGTGCGTTTTTCCTAGTTTTGGCATTTCAGGTCATTGATACTGACATGTGTGGGAGAGATGGATAACAGATAGACATCATTCATTGTCAGTGGACACAATACAGTAAAACACAACTGGGCTGTTTGCTGGAATGTGTGAAAAGGAAAGTGAGGTTAATTAATTCTAAATAATACATTTTATGCAAATGTTGCGTGGGTAAGCTGTAATTCAGATGACTAGTAACTTGTATATGGATTGACATAAACACACTACAGTGAAATACGTCAGTCTACAACAATTGTGAAAAGTTAAATGCATGATAGTTTTCTCAAGGAGAGGGTAATGTAAATTATTATTATTATTATTATTATTATTATTATTAGACAAAGGATAATGTGGATCATTTAAAGATGTCCTTGATTTTCGAAAATCAATTTCATTTCAGTTAAATATCGCGATTGTATGCATCATGGCAACAACTTTTAACTTATTTCAGTGGTCTCTGCCATCAGGAACATTGTGTTTTACCTTTTATAAATATTCACCTCATTTCCATCATTTAAAGTGTCTTCTTTTTAAGGATGGAATCAGAAACACGTGTCATGTGTCTGCTTTTACACACTACTAACCTACTAACTTACAACCTGATGTTATTTCTGCTTCTGTCCAATTAATATACAATAAGCTTAAACACATTATGTAATGCCACCAGAATGTAACATAATGAATGGTAAACTGTGTTGTTTGATTTTTAAATTGTGAAAATAAATAAAAGCCTAAGAAACAGTTGTTAGCCCTGAAGAATTGGCTATGTGAGTGCTGCTTTGTAAGTGTGGTTGCTTAATCAGCAATCACACTAATTTTTACTTCTTATTTGTAAACTTTATACTATTATTGTTTTTAATCCATAGTAAAATTGTGTCTATTATAAACAGCACAAATGTCAAAACTCATAATGATGACATGAACACTTTCAAAATTCTCACTTTGGCCTACTGATGATCCATGTATAAGCTCATGATAATGACATGGTAAGGTTATTAGATATAGAATGAACTGTCTGCTTAGCTACAATGTTATTTATATCTCAGTCAATGTGTAAGAGGGACGCACTGTAAGGACACACTTCGAACAGAAATTCAAAATGCTCTGTACTGCACACTGTACAGCACATAATGATGGCATTTATGCTTTTTGAGTTATGATGAGTTACGTGATTCTTTAAAGAGTTCATTTCACTCTGACTGTATAGGCTATATAGCTACTCTAACTATTTAAAGATACTCAGCACGGCACGCCAATCAGTCATACATATGCTGCTTATAATGAAAACATTTAGAGTTTATGAGATGTAAAATAGATCTGAACTTGTTGGAATCCCATTAAATTCCATTTCACACACAGTATAATGCCATTGGAGCAATTTCAATACAGCTTATACATGTTGGGTGTCATTCAGTCTCAGAATGCACTCATATTCTGTATAATATACAGTACAAACTCAAGGGAAGTTAATATTCAGTATGGGAAACTGATCAAGCATATAATAAAGGGCTGTAAGACATTGCAGGTCTATTGGATGGCATGCATTGTGTGTATAAGTATAACCATTATATACAGTCTTTAACAGTGCATTGTGTTTTGCAAGTTGATCAGCAGTTTTGTATGTAAATTCTTAATCACATATTCAAAGAACCTAGTAACTATAACGTTGGTGGGTGGATTAACAAGTACAATATATATGAAGTGTATTGCAGTAGACATTGAGCGCTTAAGTAAAATACTTTCTTTCCATGGCAGACAGTTGAAGGCAATCAGCATGATCTATTTTGTATAATATAATAAGTTCTTGACTCCTGGAAACAGCAGCACAAAACACTTTGACCATAAGGCTGTCTGATGGTTTGACATGATCCTGATCAGCAGAATAAAGAAATAAAAAGGATAATAAAGAAATACAGAACAAATAAACCTACTAAATACAATTTTGGTGGGATCTTTTTCTTGAGTAAGATGTAAGTATTATAATATAATTGCTTTATACTGAATTACTCCTTGACACTGTAAATATTACTACGTCACCCTGATGGATGTTCCCCTTTAACACATGCAGCTGATGACGCCACCCGCTGTCCAACAAGCAGCACAACAAGGAAGTGTCCAGCGCCTCCTGTTCAACTCGTTAGGACCTTAGGGTTTTATGAGCTAATGTTTACCTTGTAGCGCAGGTAAGTACTTCTCCATAAACGTGTTTGTCGTCCGTGAAACTGTATTTTCTCATTCCGTCGCCAGAATGAAAAGCGTTGGCGATAAACTTACAGCTCCAGTGGCTAATCAAACATGGCAACTGTGGCGCCTTGTTTCACTTTCTAGTTGGACAAACGACAGAGTAGACACTTAACGTGACATGAACTTAAGGTTTGATAGCCGTAAAAAAAAAAAAAAACATCAACAACAACACAGTGGAACAGTAGTTTTAAGCCTTGCTTCTTGTAGCTCATGCAACGCCATTACGTTTTGCTCTTGAAATGTTGTTGCTGTAGGCCGAGCTTCCTGTCAGGTAGCTTTACACAGTTCAATAACGTCAGGCCATAATCACGGTAAGCTAAAGTCTTTCCACTTAAACGTCCATAAGTCCTAAAATTAGCTTAAAAATGAAAATAAATGCTGTTGTTTTGTTACTTGATTGATGGGCTGCAGTTATGAATACTGTAAACTAACAAAACAATCAATACCCAAACATGCAATAATGTGGCAACCTAAGAATAGCCCAGAAAACTTGGTTCTCTGGTGTGAAAGACTGTTTAAATTGTTTTATCGATCACTTAAATTAAATAGTGTACCTGAACTGTTTTGTGGTTGGGCAATGTGCACAAAATTGATCATTAGTAATTATTACAGCATTAGCTTGTTGCCAATATGTTCAGATATTCATATATAATGTAAATAAAGTATTGAAGATCTCAGGCTGTGATATTCTGGTATAATTGTCAGACTTACAGAAAAGCTGTAACAAGCAAATGTTTGAAATTTTTTCCTTAGAAAATAACCTGCAGTATATAGAGCGGCGTTAAAGGATAATTAGAATTATTGCTCAGTCCCAGTTTCAGCCTTACCCATCATCAGGCACAGGCATTGACCCCAGAAGAGCCGGTAAAAAAGCTTTCACATAGAGTCAGGAAGGTGTGAACTTAATTATTTGAGCCACTTTAACTGGTGTGGTATGTTGTTGTATTTTCAGGATGCCTGTTGAAAGCCCGGAGGAGAGGAGGGTGGAGGTGCTGGCGCTGCCTCCAGGAGTGGATGAGGAGCTGCTCTTTCTGTACTTTGAGAATAAGCGCCGCTCCGGGGGAGGTCCACTCGTCTCTGTGGAGAAGAAGGGTGACCGTGCCATACTGGAGTTTGAAGAGGCAGAGGGCAAGTAGCGACATTTTGTTTGGATGTCAAATTTGGACATACAGGTGCATCTCAAAATAACAGAATGTTATGGAAAAGCTATTTTTCCCCTGTAATTAAATTTAAAAAGTGAAAATTTGATATATTCTATATTCATTTCACATAAAGTGAAATATTTAAAGCCTTTTTTTGTTTTAATCTTGACTCTTATTGCTTACAGATCATGGAAATCAAAAATCCAGTAACTCAAAATATTAGAATTTTAAAATAAAGAATTTATAATGCAGAAATATAAACCTGAGAAGAGCTCTAATCAGCTAATTTACTCAAAACACCTGCAAAAGGCTACTGAGCCTTTAATCTCTCAGCTAACTTTTCCACAATATTGTAATTTTTTTTAGATGCACCTGTAAATATTTATTTGTTAGCTGTCACAATAACTGCTTTCAAAATATTTCATGTTCTTTTATCCAGCTTTTTAAAAAACATATCAAGTAACAGCTATAGGAACAGAAAATTTCAACAGTACCATTATGTAGTATGCTCTTGTTAGAGGAAGGATGGTTACAGTATCTTATTCTGACATAACTTAATTCAACCCTTCAAACCGTTTTGTTATACTACTGTAAAACTGGCTACTTGCTGTCCTCAGATTTACATAAGCTTGATGGAGAAATGGCATTAGGCAGTTTCATGAAACACGCAATTATCCAGACCCCCTATCGGTTAAAAGCTTTTAGACATCACTCCTTCCCACCTCCAGAAGCAGTGAAGTAGAAACAAAGCATTACTGGGCTCAAAAAAAAAATTCTAATTCAAGGGCATTCATTTGTCATTAATATACTGTATGCTAATTCTACCTCCCATCATTTTGACAGCTGCATCCCAAGTGCTGTCTAAAGGGCACCACGTTCTGCATAATGTGGAGCTGACTGTGAGAAAGCCTGCCTCAAAGGACCGATGTAGACTGCTGCTGCAGGGGCTCAACCCCAACACCAACATTGATATGATAGAGCTCTACGTGGAGAACATGATGGGGGTGCGTGACTTCACTCTGTATCCCTCACAGGGGGGGGATTTTATCCTCATTCACCTCAGCCAACCCTTCTCGAAAGGTATATTATTAAACTTACATATTTTCTTTTTCTTAAAAACATACAGATTTAAAAATATATTTATTTTGCTTTTATGGTGTTCAGTATATTCGTCTTGTTTTGTAGATTTCCAAAACCTTAGTGCTAAAATCTCCAAGAAGATGCTCAATGGGTCCACGGTCACTCTTGAACAGATCGAGCAAACTGACTCCATCTTAGTGGAGAACCTGCACCCTGGCACCACTCCAGACCTGCTCACTTTGTACTTTGAGAGCAACGGAGGTGGGAATCAGAAGGTGAAGTCGGTCACACTGCTTTCAGAGAGCACAGCAAAGGTGTCCTTTGTTAATTATGAATGTAAGTTTTGTATTATACAGCCTTTTAAAACTCTTTTCGTGTTTCACCCTTTCTCTAATAAACAAAATGTCTGTATTTATTGTAACAGCTGTGAACCCTGTCCTGGAGCTCCCACACAAACTGGAAGGTGCTGATCTTGCAGTGATGCCATACTTTGACTTTCTTCAACCTACAGAAAGATTAACATCACAAGCCTCTGGGATTGGAAGCCAAGAAATGACTGAGAGAAACTCAGAGGATCTGAGTGATAATCAGATGCAGACCAGTCCTCCCGTGGTGGCTATTGCAAACAGCCAATCCTCCTCTCAGACGTCCTCTGAGCCTCTTGCTGCCCAAGAAGCAGTAGAAGAGGCATCAGGAGATGCCATCGAGGATCAAATGGAGGAAGAAGATACACTGTCAGACCATATTCCTATCGCTGACCCAGCAAAACTTGCTTTGTTTCAGCTTAGCACCTTTCAACAGGATAGTGAAAAGGCTCACCCAGATGTCACCATCCAAATCAAAGACAATGGTGTGCACATTGCAGGGACTGACAGACAAACGTTTGAGCAGATAAAACACACAATCTTGGACTATTTTGGCAAAATGGCTGAGACTCACTTCACCCTGGAGCCAGAAAAGGCTCAGTTCCTTGAAAGAAAAGATGTAAAAAAACGGCTACTGCAAATCATGGGTCAAACCGAGTCACCTGCCATGTACACCGTATCAGACTGTAATGTTGCGGTAACCTCCCTATCCCAGAACTCGGCTAACCAGGCGTGTAACTTTTTGAAGTCCCAGCTGTGTCACTTCAGCATACCGCTGGATAGAGAATATGAGGGCATGTTAAACTGCAGAGAGTGGTCTGAGTTTGTGCAGGCTCTGGGTTTCTCCTCTGTAAAGGTGTCAGAACAAGGAAGGAATGCTGATGTGTTGACTCTGAAAGGAATGGAGAGTGAGAAGCAGACTGCAATCCTGCAGTTCCTTGCTACACCCATTGAAAGGGAGACCGTCATCTCTATGGAGCCAGGCGTGTTGAAATACATCCAGACACATTGTCATCAACTATTGGCTGACATGGACGAAGTGTCTATCTTTCCACTAGAAGCAGAGGAAGTTTGTGGGTTAAAGGTACGTGTAGGAGCAGACATGTTTGACTGCAGTGGTGTAAATGTCATTGGCTTCTGTTTCAGTCGTTTCCGGTGCAGTTTGAACACTGTTTTTGAAATTGCTGGACTCTTGAGATTGTTTCACCTTTTGTCATTCTTTGTGAATGTACCTGATAGATCCATGGCCTTGCAATTTCTTGTCAAATGGCTAAGGAGGTGTTGCAGGGTATAGTGTCCTCCATCTGCACCAGGACCATCACCGTAAACGCTCCAGGTGTGACCCGCTTCCTAGATGATACGGAGTGCAAGAGCATCCTGAAGGAGATGGAGACTAAGTTTCAAGTCCTTATCATCCCAAAGCTGGTGCCCTGGCAACCCCTGCCACACCAGGTAACGTAATGTTGGAACAAAGCAAAGGTTTTGTTGTATTTGGCTTTCCTCTGTGTTTTTGAAACTATGCTGTGCAACTTCATTCCTCCACACTCAGTTGGCCAGTTATACCAGTTGTCTTTCACCTTGATGTGCTGTCTACATTGAAGCCTCACAGTACAGCCTGAGGCCGCGTTTACCAGCTTACACAGGGGAGAAGTGAAACCCTGATGATTACTGTGTTTCTGAACAGGTCTTGCCAGCAGAATGTGTTAGCTTTGCTGTACTAACTTTTCTTACTTCTGCTTTGTTGTCATCCTCAGCTCAGTGGGGGGAAAAAAAACAATGTTTATGTTCACAAATGTAGCTAAGATCATGGAGAAACCATGAAAGTAGAAACACTTTGAAAATAACAACAGTACCTTGCAGAAGTGCACCAGAGATCAGCACAAAAACCAAAATTAAGACCAAAATGTAATCTTTTTCTTCCTTTTCCTTTAATTCTTATGGGAAGGTAGAATTAACCCTAAAACTAAGTAGTTCATGGACTAAATGATGCAAAACCACTCATTAATGTGGTCATTTTTTAATATTCCAAAAATATACCGTTATAGTTATTGTAGCATTAAGTCAGAATTTGCTAATCAGCGTGAAAATATCAAGTAATTCAGGTTTCTCTGTGGCACATACCTTCACACCGAAAGTTTGTATTTACTATTTCAGGACATTTTTGAAACCGCATGGACGATGATGTCCCACAGAAACTTCCAGAAAGTGTCTTTGGATGGTTCTGCACAAGAGTTAAAATCAGATTCATTGCATACTGATCACAATGGAGCGGCAGACAGAGGTAATATCGATCTCTTCAATAATTTGTCTCTTTCTGACAAATTATTCTTATAATTTCAGTCTCAAACAATCTGTGTACCTCTCTGTAGGTCTTTTAGATGAGGCAAAGAGAATCGTCTCAGCTATTGATGAAGGACTCGAGGAGGGTGTGTCCACTTCAAATCAGCTTGATGACATGGATAACGTGGACCTTTATACAGCAGAGGAACCAACCAGCCTGACAGACCAGGACTCTAATGTGATAGATGTTGATGCTTTCCAGCCCTCAGCTGAAAGGAATGCTACGAGTGGGTTACTCCTGAATGATGGAGCTCTGGGCCTTTCCAGCAACCTTGAAGAAGAGGCCCAAATGTCCCTAGCCATCCAGTACTCTATGGAGTCAAGTCATTGGTCCCTGCAGGAGGAGGAGGAACAGCTGCAAAAAGCATTGGAGTTGTCAAGGGAAATGAGCCAACATGAAGCTTCTGCTAGTAGTACTGACAAGAGCGCCCACGTGGACAAGCTGGGGAAGGGCAAAAATATTTCCTTAGAGGACACGATCAAGGCGGCCAACACCATACAGTTAGTAGTGTTCGCAGGTTATAACTGTGACCTGATTCGGGTGGACATAGCCTTTGGGAAAAAGGTCAGCCAGAGACAGGTGGAGGAGAAACTGGAGCACAGGAGTGTAAAGAACATGTCCGAATACCACAGGAAGTGTCTGGAGATGATCAAGCGGAAGCACGCAGTGGAGATTCAGATTCAGGGAACCATAATTTCTGTTTCCGGCTTCAAGGATTTTGTGACCGGAGCACTATGTGATGTGAAGCTGCTGCTGGAGAAAATCTCCAATTATGTGCCCGACCAGGAAATCCTGAGAGCTGTCCAGTGGGTACATCACAACCCAGCCTCCTCAGACACGACTCCTTATTCACCCGATGCTACAATATTCATCGAGCATGCTTGGAGAATGAAGCTGAAAAAGGTTGATATCTTGATAGACAATCAGCCCCACACCATAAACTTTGAGAAGATGGAAGAATACCACATACCTTCAGGGAAATCTGTGAAAATCTCCAGGAAGTTGCTCAATTTAGAGGATTTGGTTGAGGATGTGTCAGGTGAAGGGGAATTTATAGTTTGTTTACTGCAGAGTGATGCTTCTGTGTATGGAGCCCCAAAACCACCAAAAATAATATACTACTATAAATACTAAAAGTAGTAAAGGACAAGTCAAAAATATAACTGAATGCACCATTTAGCCAGCAACCTAACACTTAAAAAGTTAGCTTGCTAACACAGACACCATGCGTCCTAACATCACTTACACAACATAACTTCATTTTCAAGTGGATGTCTGGTGTCTTCATCAAGGACCAGGTCTAGAAAAGTCCTGGGACTTTATTGTGTTATCCATGACATTTTGTAAATGTGTGCGGTTAATCTAAACTTAAAGCTTCAACATTCCGTTAGCTAGCTAAATGTGTTCGTGTTAGCCTGCTGGCTAAAAGGCTTCAGCTACTTTTACTATGGTTAATGCACTGATCCTACAGCAGTATGCTGACAGTAATGGATGGTGGATGATTATGTGGAATAGTAAAAATGGCCATTTGTGTTTTGTACTCCATTGTACTTATTTAAATAACAGTTAAAACTATTGATGTGTTCCAGTATGTTTGTGACCCATGATCATCTTTCACTGCCTTTTGCCAGTTTTTGGGCTCCATATCTATGTTGATAAATAATCTAAAATCTCAATTAAATGATAAATCCTAAATCCTTTGTTAATAGAGGAGGACTTCTCTCTGCTGTCAAACCTGCCTGAAGCAACCAAAGTCGATGAGGAATCTGATGAATTTCAGACTGTGGTGAAGAATTTCTATGAGACCATTCAGGAATACCACAGCAAAATCAGAATCATACAGGTAAAACAAATGAGCCACATGTGTTGCATCAAATGATTTAGGGTGTCTGTAATAATACTAAGATTTTCCCCAGGTGGAGAAGCTCATGAATCGACTACTGTACAATCAGTACAAGTTGAAGAAGGCGAGCATACTACAGCGTGCCTTGTATCCGGAAGTTGAACGAACTCTCTACCATGGCACAAGTGAGACGAGTGTGAAAGAGATCTGTGTTCATGGATTCAACAGAAGCTTCTGTGGAAAGAATGGTATGTTTTTGAAACTACTGTTTTCTTGTCTGGCCCAGTTTTTCCTCATCTTGGGCATCAATTTCTGACATCTTGGTTTCTTCACGCAGCTACCGTCTATGGTCAAGGGGTGTATTTTGCTGTCAACTCTGCGCTGTCTGTCCAGGATCAGTATTCACCCCCAAACGCAGACGGATACAAGTTTGTTTTTGTGTCAAAGGTTCTAACAGGAGACTTCACTAAAGGCTGCCATTCGATGAAGGCGGCCCCTCTAAAGGAGACCGGCGCCATTCCCCTCCGATATGACAGTGTGACTGACGACATCACCAAGCCGTCGATGTTTGTCATCTTCAACGATACGCAGGCTTTCCCTGAATATCTCATTACATGCCAGAGAATCCACCGTTAGGACGGATTAGGCGTCAGATGATAACCATAAAATTGGGAGAAAAGGACTGCTTTTGCTTTAATGTGTCTGCCTTAATTTAAAAAAGTGCATTTAAATTATAAAGGGCTAATGTGTTAGAAGGTACAGTTGGTATTTTGTCTTTCATGATCCAAATTTCATCAAGTACTTTGCTGTGGACTGATTTTGCTCCACTTTTAGTTCATCAGTGTAGTCAACTCTTCATCTCTAGTCAACCCCCATCTTAATTAAATAACTCAAAACATGCCCTTTCGGCACAATAATTCTCTGTGTGAGGTGTCTTTAAATAGGTCTGACTCAGCAGTTAATGCATGAAAATTACTTGTTATACTCAATTTGGCAATTGTTGAGATTGCTCACACACTCCAGTGTTTATACGCCTCACTTAAACTCGGAAGCTTCCAAAATGTGTTGTTTTGATGATTTTAAAATCAACCATAAATGATCTGCCACACACAGTTTTTGATTTTCCTAAATATGGGTAACTGCATATTGTGAATATAACTGACTTTTTTTATATGTAATTCTTTAGTCCAGCGGCAGTGCTAAATACACTGTTGTCTAAATGTAATTACCATAACTGACTCACTGATTTGACCCGAAAATATAGCCTATCTTTGTTTTCTTTTGAGTTCAGTTATTGGAGTTACCCCAAAAGTAACTCTAGTGTACAGGTTCTGCAAGTTTTTCTTTTGTTCTTCATATGCAAATCACTGAAAGAACTCCTGTAACACTATAATAGAAAATCTCTTAAGTGTAGTTAAAAGAGCAGTTCCAGGTCCACTGCTCTACCATGAAGAAAATGTAACTGAATAAGTAATCACCATGTCCACAAAAAGCTAATTAAGCCTAGGCTGAAAATAAGGATCCTTTATCAAAATGTAATTAGTTTTGATTTAGTTTTCGTGTAAAACTTAGATAAGTTTTAGTCTTAGACATGTTTTAAGCTATATATACTACATTGTAAATGTCAAGCCTTGCACATATATGTGCACTTTTAAAGAATGTGGATTGTTATTTTAATAAAACAAAATAATGACTTAATACTTGTGTACCATGTGCAAAACATGATGGGGCTTGATTCCCTATTCCTTATTTAGTGCGCTGAAGACAGGCTACAGAATTTGTCCATTTTTGGTTTTTCATCAATGAAGTGCTTTTATCACAAATCTGTATGTTTTCTGATGTCTGACTACAGTCTGGGAATGTGTTTACCAAAGTACTTTATTGTTAATTGCAAATAAATGCATGTCTTTTGTTTTGTTTTAGAAAACATTAAGAAAGATCATTATTATTTTTAAGAAAAATAAAGCTTGAAATGAGAAACCATCTTGGTGATATATTTTTTTGCTGTTGGTGAGATTTGTGGTAAATGGCCTCAAAAACTGATGGCAGAGGCTACCATGCAGCTGCTCATCAGAAATTGCAACTAATCATTCACACACTGAGAGCAATTAGGGGTTTGAACTACCAACCCTCTGATTGGCAGACAACCTTCTCCACCTCCTGCTAAATTTGATCTGGGGCTCTGGGCTGTTCTCAGTTGTATTTTCCCCAAAATGTCTTGGCTGCTGTGTAGAGCATTTCGCTACTGTTACGATGTTATTAATCTGACATTTTTCCACACCAAAACAAGCTCTAAATAGGTTTGAATTAAGGTTACACATGTGAATTTCCAGCTCCTCTACTATGTATTTTATATCAATAGAAAACCTCAAGGGAAGCTGAGTGACATTTTTGCACAAAGTTGATGTCAGTGCCTAAAATGTTGCTTTCGACAACAGTTACACTTATTATCACACTAAGTTGTTTTCCATATGTAGAAATGCAGGGATTGTAACAGAAGAGACTATTAATTAATCATTTAAAGAGTAATTTCTGTGTATTTTGTCCTGCTAAATTGTAGCAAATAACCTGAGATTAAACTACCTCGCATTTTATCAGGGACTCCTGAGCTCACAGGAACCTGGTGGATCGGCACCCTCAGTTATGCAGACTTTGAATAATGGAGTTAACCTCAGATAGTAAAATAATTTGTGACCTGAGACTGCCTTGATGTAGCCTTCTGATTTTAAAGATACTGAGGGAATAAACCATAGACGAATAAACATGTTCTACTTGTGGAATTGAGCTTGTATCAAGATTTTGAACTGTGGGGGCAGTAATGAGGCTCGGGGCAGCAAGTCTGTCGTAAAAGGAAAAGGCAAAGAAGACTGGCCCGTCCACAACACAACGACAACTAACTGCTAGCTTCAGTTAGTAACCCACAAAATATGACACCCTAAATATACACAGAAGAAGGATCAATAAAGCTACAGACTCTGATAGCGTGTTTGATGTAGGTACGTTGACAAGTTTAATTCACGATTTGCTAAAACATGCAAAAGAAACCTGTAGTCATGGCCGTGCCATGCTAGCTAATGCGCTAGCTACAAACAGCAACATTAGCGTGTTGCTAACACTGCTAACGTTACCGGCTTTCCCATACATTCGTTATCTGATGCTAACTGTTGGTGGAGACACACTAGTCATAACAACATGACTCAATGGCTAGTGCTGCTCTCGTGTCCCATTAAGTCGATGTTAGCTGTCAGAGGTAAAGGTAAATGACCAGCGAAGTAGTTGCCACAGCTTGACGCTAGCTTTGGTAAATTATAAGCTAGCTAGCATGTATCATGGAAGCTTCTTTTTACATCAGTGGCATGAATTCATAAAGCAGCGCAACAGCTAAATATGTATATAGATGCTGCGTATGTATGTATAACGTTACAGTATGTGAAGGCAGTAGACATTAAAACCTTTACTGGAATGATTAAGTTAAGCAAAACCCAATTACAAAATCTGAAAATGTACCCTATATTCCAGTAACGATGAGTTGCTATAGAACGAAGTAACGTTACAACTTTTTGTGCTATGTTTGATTTGGCATGTAGGTTCTTCACCGCACTATTCATGAAATAATAATAAGTTAAATCTCAGGTCAGTATTGTTCCACACTGCAAGCCACGAGCCACTCCAGTGTACTTTTGAGGAAGACCTGGAGAGTCCATGTTAGTGTATGAATCTTCTTTAAACAGTGGCTCTCAAAGTGATGTTAAGAGATCTTGGCCTGAATGTTGTCACTTTTCAGATGCTCAGTGCACCATTTCAAGATGTATGCTGTGTACAGACAAGCACACACCCCCACTGCAGTGGAGTTCTCTGTCTACTGCAACTTTATATCCAGCAAGGAGAAGAATTTGGTCGTTGCTGGAACATCTCAGCTGTTTGTCTACAGGATTATCCACGATGTGGAGGTTACTATGTCTCCACTTTTTAATCTAATTGTGTCATGTTTTTAAATACAAGCATAAAAGGCTTTTTTTGATGTGTGTAACATGTATGTCTTTATTTCAGAGTACATCAAAGGCTGACAAATCCTCAGGTATGTTTAGGCGCCATAAACAAAGTACACATTTTACCGTTATTTAATGATATAAACTTAAATGGGACTTCACTTTTTCCTCGTACAGATTCCAAATCTCGTAAGGAGAAACTGGAGCAGGTGGCATCCTTTTCTCTCTTTGGCAATGTTATGTCCATGGCCAGTGTGCAGCTTGTGGGAGCCAGCAAAGATGCACTCCTTCTCAGTTTCAAAGACGCCAAGGTATCCATTGTCTAAGCTGTGCACTGCTTAACCGAATTTTGAACTGCCGCAAAACAAAGTTTCCAACTGACCTGTGGGTGTGTTTGCTCTCTTACCAGTTGTCTGTAGTGGAGTATGACCCCGGGACACACGACCTCAAGACGCTGTCTCTTCATTACTTTGAGGAGCCAGAGCTCAGAGTATGTAAAACATGTACACAGTAAATATGTGAAAACGCTGTCTAAGTTGGAGTAAATGTTGACATGCACACGCTAAGAAATTGAAACTAATTTTCACTCTTTCTACATTTTCAGGATGGTTTTGTACAGAATGTACATATTCCCATTGTCCGTGTAGACCCAGAGAATCGCTGTGCCGTAATGCTCGTTTATGGCACCCAGCTTGTGGTCTTGCCGTTCAGGAAGGACACTCTAACTGATGAACAGGAGGGTGGCGTTGGAGAAGGGTACGCCTGCAGTCCACTTTACATTCTGCTCCTTAATGTCTTATCCCAAAACCCTCAGAGCGCCATAAATGCTTACATGTCGATTCCCCAGGGGGGCTAAAACCTAATCTTGGCTTTGTTGGTACCAAATGTGGGAATTCCACCCACCTTCCACCCATTTTAATTGTAACTGTTGATATTGAAGTTTCCACACATGTATATTTATGGTTAAAAGAACAAAAAAAATGGGATCAGCTGCCATTTGATTAAAATCTCCACTTTTATCCCGCAGTTGACACTCCATAGATGAATCAAATTCGTTTTTATGATTACTACACACGTGTCCATGTAATTCTCTAATTGCGGCCTATCACTGTGTCTCATCTACAGACCTAAATCCAGCTTCCTACCCAGCTACATCATTGATGTCCGGGAGCTGGACGAGAAGCTGCTCAACATCATCGACATGAAGTTCCTCCATGGCTACTATGAGCCCACGTTGCTCATCCTGTTTGAGCCCAACCAGACATGGCCTGGGTCAGTCCACTACATTATTATGACAATCACTGTTTTGGTTTTATCCAACCAGTAGCAATGCTGGCCAAGTGTAAATTAAGGTTATTGCAAGTGCCACCTTTGTTTAATAAATATGACCAGGGCTTTTTTTTACATCTTGTTTCTGAGTGTGCCAGATTTGAATGAATGTCTGCTTTTGCTAACTTCCGCTTTCTGGTCCTCCTGCCAGACGCGTCGCTGTGCGTCAGGACACTTGTAGCATCGTTGCCATCTCCCTCAACATAATGCAGAAGGTTCATCCCGTCATCTGGTCTCTCAGTAACCTGCCTTTTGACTGTACGCAGGTCATGGCTGTTCCCAAGCCAATCGGTGAGCTCCGTGAAATGTCACTACTGATGATCGGTGTGGTTTTCCGGTTCACCATAAAGATCATGTCTGTTGGGAGTGTCAGATGTGAATTTGCACCATGTGTTGTTAAGGTGTTTGCTGTCGGAGCTTCTTTAATCACATATCAAATCGTTTCAGGTGGTGTGGTGGTGTTTGCTGTCAATTCGTTGCTGTATCTGAACCAGAGCGTTCCACCATATGGAGTCTCCCTCAATTCTCTGACAGCTGGGACCACAGCCTTCCCTCTGCGTAAGCAATATCATCTGAAAACATATCTTTGATTTGCTCTACATACTATTTGATATATAACGTGTTTTTGTTTGCCCAGGTGTCCAGGATGAAGTGAAGATCACATTAGACTGCTCCCAGTCTGACTTTATTGCCTATGACAAGATGGTCATCTCTTTGAAAGGAGGAGAAATGTAAGTCATTGTAATTACCACCGGAATGGACACGACCAATGGAGGCAGTTTATGATTCTTCACTGTCTGTTGTTGTCTTGCAGTTATGTGTTGACCCTCATAACTGATGGCATGAGAAGCGTCCGGGCTTTCCACTTTGACAAAGCTGCCGCCAGCGTCCTGACAACCTGTGTAAGTTCTGGCCGTGGGCATCAGTGGTGTGAAGAGACAGGAAGTCTCTATCTTCAACAAATGCTCTCTGTGTTTTTGTGGACAAACACAAAAGGCTGGAGGGAAAAGGGTTTGACTGACACAGATTTTGAAAGCTAATACCAGGACCTTAAGATCAAAGCTGCTGCATTAGCAGGGCGTTCAAACCTCAGGAAATAAATCATCAGACTTCACCCAAAACCCAGAGGTAGCTTCTTATATCCGTTTGACCTTTAAGGGTATCAAGTAAATACTGAATATTTACTAAATCTGTCAGCTTTGAGAGGATTTAGAATAGGTAATCTGGCACCTCACACTCTGGGCTTTCCACCTTCAGATGGTGACCATGGAGCCTGGCTACGTTTTCCTGGGCTCCCGCCTGGGAAACTCTCTGCTGCTGAAGTACACCGAGAAGCTTCAGGAGACGCCACCAGAGGAGGGCAAAGAAAAACAGGACAAA